CGCAATCCACCTACATTCTTCTGCGGGTTAGGTGGGTGGCAGATGCGTGCGGTTGGGTCGTGGGCAAGGTTCAAAAAGGCGCTAGGCATAAGACGAGCGTTAGCGCCCAACTCGCTTAGGCGTAGACTAAGCGTGCCTAGGCATTAGAAGAAAAATAGCTATTTGCACAACATGATTAATGAAATAATAATCTACAACACTTTCTCACTTCAACTAAAACACTAAATGTCAAGAATATAGCTCACGAATTCATAGAATCATAGCTCAATAGCTCACAAAGTTCTTAAGATATTGAAAATTGATTTCGTAGTTGATGTTAATTTTTTCCTTTGATATTGACTTTCTAGCTCCATCTGGTAATGGTTATGAGACTTTTATGTTGCCTTACTCCATTGACGTGTTCTAGTATCTAATTAGGCGCAAAACCCCTAGGCGAGGCGTTTTGCCATTCCCTTGCTCCTAGGCGTGCCTAAGCATAAGGTTAAGCGTGCCTTTTTGAACCATGGTCGTGGGTTAACTCGCAAAAGCAATTTTCCAACAAGCCTTTAAGAAAGTTAACTAACATTTATAATAATTTCATAATAAATTAGTAAGACTGTATCAATTTGTACACTTCTCACTTTGTCTCAAGTGAATCCATGTAGTATTTGCATAAAAAGTTTTACTACTCTATCAACCAATTGTGTAGAGAAAACTTACGCATTTTGTGATTTTGATAACATTAATAATTTAAAGTTTTCATCCCAATATTTAATTGATATTAACAATAATTTACATTGCAATATCCAATATCTAATGGATATTACACAACACAGTAACTAATAATAGTAGTCAAAACAACATTTTTTTCATGTGAAAATAGAATGTGGGTTATTCGGGTGACCCGCAATCCACCCTCCACCCACATAAGTGCGGATGAGAGATTTATCAATACACAATCCACCCACATCAATAACCCATTGCTTGCGGGTCGGGTTAGTTGCGGGTGGATCGATTTCAACCTGCGGATTAACCACCCACGTGTCCACCCCTACTGTTTGGTGTAACCCGATGAAGAAATTTCAGACACTTCTGATCAAGGTTGTCAACCCGCGAGTTGACCCGAACTCGGTGGAGCTAGTGGGTCAAGAGTTAATGGGTCACCCATTTTAGCTCGGTTTAGTCCGGAAATATGGAAAGAGTCATTATATTGTACTTATCCTGATAAATTATATCAAATCTCAACTAACATATGAGTTATAACATATAATATTCCACCAAAATAACATGTCGTACTTAGATCCAACATATAGTGAAAATTCACACAGACTTATATAACATATTTATTCAAATGTGGAACTTAGGATTCCAAATATGGAGTTAGGCGAAAAGAAAAATCGAAAAATAGGCGCATTTCGCAAACCAAAGAAAAAATGACACAATTTGACCCCCAACCCGGTACCTTACAGCGGTCGACCCGGTGGGTTCGTGCGGTCCGTTTTTCTCACCGGGCCAGAGTCAAAGTGGGTCGACCCGCGGATTGACAACCTTGCTTCTGATTAATCATGTACGTAGGCTTCATGATGAAAATGTTTTGATAAATCTCCTTCAATAATATATGGTAGAGTTTTGTGTACTTTTCTCCATTTCAAATTTTCTACAATCAAGTGAAAATAGGAATGACATTTTTCACAATTAATTATTTATTTCATATAAAAAATTATCAACATAAGGATTAGAACCCATGTTCTTTTCAAACAAAAATAATAATCATAACCAATTACACTAAATGAATTTGTTGAATATTTTTTAATATTAAACATATACGAAGTTAAACTTCGACAACCGAAGGACTTTTCCATCATGATTAGCAAGTCCTCTAAGTCTACAATATGTATTTTTCTGGTATTTGATACTTCAATGTTCATAGTAGATTTTGAGGAAATTTTCTCTATTTTAAAATTCCTTCTCTCTCCTTAATTTTCTCTAAAGATAAATTTGTAATTGGCTAACATGAAAGAAACTATTTCTTTTATTAAGTGTTGTGTAATTTTATTTTTAATTTTAAATTAAAATTTGTGTGCTTCTTTACCTTTCTTTTTGTCTCTTTCTAACTTTCTCTGAAATTCCCTCCATAGTGCAATAGTTCGAGCCTCTTTCACTTCCCAGTACAGTGCCGCCTTTGAAAATCAATCTTCAGGTATCTCTTGGCACTGTGGTTTTATTGTTGAGGATTTAAACTTGACAAGTAGAAGATTTCAACTCTGATATCAATCCATGAGGAATAGAATGAAGTTCAATCAAATAGTTATGGTGTGACCTTAATTAATTATCTCGCTCGATTCCTCTGCACTGGCATCACCCAATGATTCTGTCTCTCCTCAATGAACTACTAGAAGAACTATTTTGTTGCTTTTATTGCTGAAGACAATGTTTGGTCAGTTATATCTTTTTCCTTTACTCCTCTTCCTATACCAGGCATTGACCTTGAATGGTTTTTTTTTTATCTTTGCCCAAGGTTAATCTCTTCGCATATGCAAGTCATTCCTTTCTTCTCTATATTTTATGATTTTATCTTTCTGATTAATAACAAAACGACTTTTGTTTCACGTTGTCTCATGAGCAGAACATGCAGAAGATCTATTTCTTTTTATCCTATTGCCTTATACGATGTTTGAAACTCGATGGATCTCCTATGTTATTGCTCCTCTTTTTGTTCTTAGGTTTCAACTTCAATGAGTTTTCTATTTCATAAAAGGTTCATTGAATTGAACTGGTTGACTCTTATTTCCTTCTTAATTTATCTAAATTTATTGTTTGTGATTGATTTATAAAGTATAAGAAAAGAATTAGAACGGTGGTTTGGGTTCTAAATTTGTTTGAAATCAAACAAGAAGTTTGTGTATAACCGAGGCAGTTCTACTTTCCAAGCGCCCTTTCTACTTTCTTGGTTGTTTGTTTCCTGTAATTTATTTTTGTTTTATGCTTAGCTATTGAAATAAGATGACAATTAAAAAAAAGATTTCTTTTCAATTACAATATTTTCCCTCATGTTTGATTTTGTTATAACTAATGTTCTCTGCAACCATATTTTCCTCGTTAATTTGATTCATATGGTCCTGCTCACTTTCAAATTTTTATATTTTTTTTAGGATTAGTTAGAAACTTTTAATTTTTGCTCATGTTTTTAGTCTTCATTAATCTAATTGCAAGCGATAATGATTGCTAAAATTAAGCTTCTCTGCAACACTCTAGGAGTTGGGGGTGTTGAACTTGGAGTAGAAGAATTAGGATTGGATTTGGGAAGGGAAGCGGTGGGGGATAAATTGTGTTTGGATTTGGTAGCATGTAAAACTAAACTGCTGCAGGTGAAGGCGAGAAGATGGAGTTGGTAAGGGTATTTATCGAATTGACAAGTGTATTGAAAGACATTGAAGCAAAACTGGAGCAGTTGAAGAGATAGATGATGATGATATCGATGAAAATGGAAATGGTATTGAAGGGCGTGGAAGTGTACTGAAGCAGGTGAACTGGTGAAGGAAGACAAAGGGGAGATGAGCATATTGATAGAATTAGAGATGAGTATTGGTTTTAGCGAGCTTATTACAAAATCCCCTGATGGAGATGAGTTGGCAAAACACAAGAAGAGGACTGAGGAGTTGAAGAGCGAGTTGACAAGAAACCCAATTGGAAAAGAAATTGGTGAACATAGAGAGAAGGTCCATCAAAGTAGCAGAAAATGAGTTACAGAAGGAGCCTCATAAAAAAAAAGAGTTATAGAAGGAGGATTAGAAAGTGAATTTTTGGTTGAAATATATGCCTCCTGAGATTGAAGATAAAGTGAATTTTTGGTTGAATAAAAATTTCGTTGTACAACGAAGAATGATGGTTATTGGATCTTTAGGTTTATGGGTTTTGCAGCTACCACAACCTATTTTTATCTTAAAACTATGAATCATTGCTTGATTTACTGAAGTGGGTCGATTCTTTATTCAACCTACTAGAACTAATAGATAAGGAGTATCTAATTTTGTGCCTCATTACTTTGATTGAGTCTTAGTATATTGAAGGTAGCCCTAATTTTGTCATTTGCTTTCAAGTTTTGACAGTACCCTCCGTTTTTTTATTAGTGGCCTATTGTTCCTAAAATGAGAGCATTGAACCCTTTATGTAGGATTGTGAGGTTTCATATTCGGTTTTAAACAATCTATGGCTCGTGTGAGAATTCCAGTAAGCTTTTATAGTCTATCTTTTTTTACAATCAACTAACCAATAACATTTTAACTTGACCTTAATTGTCATTATGAATATGGGTTCAATGATGCATATATTCTTAAATGGGATTTCCGAATGTTCTATCAATATATTCTTTCGTTATGTATCATTTCGCTCGAAGGATTGTCAATAAAATTAAACGGATTGATAGAGTTAAACGTAACATAAAATCATAAATATTCAAATATTAACATTCCGACCAACTAGTAGGATAGAAGCTAATTATATGAATAGCGCCTAGCTACTTACATATTCCAACATACTTTTTAAAATTTTTGTCAAATTTATATTTTCTATCAATCATATGTTTTTGGTTGCAAATTAAATGGATTCAGATACGACTCTTTAATTAACAAAACGTTGTTTTTTCTTTTCTAAATGCACTTTTTTAGTTTCGATGCTATCTTCATAAAATGTCGATAATTTCCAAAATTCCGTATCATTCTTACTAATATTATCACGCCAACCTCTTGAAAAATAGCAGCTCTTTCATCATAAAGCATAGATATGTATGTATGGAGTATTCTCATTTGACCACATAAAAAAATGTAAAGAATAAATCAAAATTATATATTGTGTATATGAACACCGAGTAATCGAGCAAATTCTCAAAGGGGGACAAAGAAGAAGAAGAAGGAACAAGTGAAAAACAAATCATACAAAAAACAGAAACAAAACTAAATTCCGCCAAAACAAAAACAAAAAAAAAAGGTAAAAAAGCTTTTATCTATGACATGATGATTTATTTACATGAAATCGTCAAGTAACTCCAAGCTCTCCGGAATCTCAAACTTGAGCAAGCTGCTGCAATAGCTCTCCCTCTCATCCTCCGTCGTCGTACTGGCACTCAAGCTGCCGTTCACGAAATTTGACGACGTCGGTGTCACCTGCGCCGGGCTCGATAACGGCGTCGAAATAACGGACGAGTCCGCATTACCAATATTTCCACCGCCGCCGCTAATCAAGCTACTCTGGTACCAATCCGCACCGTTACCGTTACCGTTATTATTCCCGCTCAACCCGGCTCCACAGGACTGGAAACTCCGACAATTCTCCGAAAGTTCAGGGATGGTATTCCAAAACCCAAAATCATTGGGTAGCGAAGCGAAATTATCCTTACCCGACACCTGACTCCCGGAGTTGTTATCATTATTATTATTTAATTCCAGGAAACGCTCCAGGTCAGCCTGCTGCTGCTGAATCAGCTGCGACGGCGTCGTTTGACTGTCCGTGAGATTCTGCTGCTGTTGGTGGTAGAGCTCCGGGTTCTCCTGCTGCAGCGAGGCGAGCGCGGCGGCGACGCGGAGGAGGTCCGGGTTGAGCAGCGACGGAGGAGGCTGTGAGCTGGCGGCGAGAAGGGCGAGGAGAGACGCGGCCGGGTTGACGTGGCAGAGCGCGTTGCCGAGAATCGCGGATAAGTCGAGGAGGTCGAGGCGGGGCGCGTGGGTGACCGGATCGATGCCGTTGCGGAGAAGCCTCTTGCGGATGTGGGTGTTCCAGTAGTTCTTGATCTCGTTGTCCGTCCTTCCAGGCAACCGGGCAGCTATGGCCGACCACCTAAAATTTCACCAAACACATTGACTCAAGGATTAGTTTGGTTTTTTTTTTTTTCATGCATATATAGGTTTATTGATACTACCAAACAAGACTGTTAGGTTTATGGTGACGATTTTATTTCATTTTTCTTCTCTCACAATTCACCACTCAACAGAGGAAATGGTCATTACTACTCGCGGTCCAAGCGGATTTTTTTTTTCAAGGGAGGAGTTTAAACCAGATAGTGTTCCAACTTTTAATTTTTTCGGTACAACTTTTATGATACACGGTACATGATGATTCTATATTTCTTTGTGATTAGTGGTATGATTTGCTTACTTGTTGCCGAGGATGCTGTGGAGCTGGATGATGGTCTCCTCCTCCTCGAAGGCGAAACGGCCTCGCTTGATGTCGGGGCGGAGGTAGTTGGTCCACCTCAGGCGACAACTCTTACCACATCTCTGAAGACCTATAATTGATGGAACAATGAAGGAAAAATATGAGAAATAATGTGCATAGACAGATTGTTGGTTTTGGTCATGATGGACGTGTGTATATATATGGTGGCTTTTATCGTACTTACCGGCATTTTTGGGGAGGGTGCGCCAGTTGCCAGGGCCGTGCAACTGGATGTAAGAGGTGAGTTTGTGATCCTCTTCGGTAGTCCAGGGGCCTTTCTTCAGCCCATTCTTGTCGCAGCAAGGAGTTCTTCCCATTCTTGGAAATGCTAATTAACAGGGTTTTTTTGGTGAAGGATCGGAGGAAGGAGAGGATGAACATTAATGGTGAACTGTGGATGGATGGGATTGTGTTGTGTTGTGTATATATAGGGATTAGGTTAGGGAGAAGAAGGAAAGGTAGAAATGGCTGCGAAACAAAGTCAGAGAGATTTGGTGCCGCCTGGCCTCTTTTGCCACGTATATTTTCGTTTCAATTTTTTTTTATAACTAATGTGTCCATTTCATCTCCACTAACGTGGTTCGATTTTGCAATGACTAAAAATAATATTAATAATAATGTCTGTCTACGCAGCTGGGGCAATGCGTGTATGATGCATATTTCATTATTTCTGGGTGGTGGTGATGTGCGCAAATCGTAATATTGAAATTGCATGGTATGTAAATGGTGACAAGTGTGAAATTAATGGTTTGTGTTCCCTGGGGGAGTTTTAAAAGGGAAACTGCAGCCATTGTTTGGGGACACGATATGGGTTCCAGCTCTTTAATTTCCTTATATATATATGCTACGTGCGCAATTTAAGGACGAAATAAATTAACAGTAAAAGTTGCATGTATATTTCACCAGTATGATAGCTAGCTAAGCTCTAATTTAGTATTATAAACTAACGGGTCACAATAACTTGATTATTTGTTGAAACGAGACCAATGTATGTATATTAATATATCAGTACTTTCTTACAATAACATTAGATAAATTTCTTAAAGAACTTTTATAATTTATTTTATACGGTATAATCCAAAGGTAACCCTCAGGTCCAAGGATAAATGACACAAATATTATTTTTTTTAAAATTTTACCACCAATATGGTGGATTAAAAAGTATTGACATGTTTATTGTGTTTTTGTGTAGAGTCAGAGGCGGGACCGCTGGAGACTCAGGAGGGGCGCCTTTGGAAACTTTTGAACCAGTCTAAGGCGCTGGCGCCTTAGTCTCCAACGCCCCCGCCTTCACCTCTCTAATTTATTTTAAAAAGCGCTGCAGGCCATCCTCTTTCCTTATCTTATCTTCTTCTTCTTCCTCCCCCCTCACGAACCAGAGAATCCACTTGCAACCCCGGCGCTCACAGTAGTCAGCGCCTCAGAGCCAGGTGCCGCAGCCGCAGACAGAAGTGCCACCGCCAGATGTCGTCCGACGAAGACGAAGCAGTCGCCGGCAGAGGTAGGGGGAGAGGCCGGCGAGGTCGTGGAGGTGGCGGCCGTTTTCGCGGTGAGGGTCTGGCGGGTTTTTTTTAAATAATGTTTAATATTTTTTTAATTAATATTTTTGTTGCTTTGCTTTTGCAGTTCCTAGGCTTATGGACCCTTATTCGATGAGACTACCGCCGGTGACTATTGATCCAGCTCCGGCCGATCCAGTACTTCTTCGGGGACATGGCCAACATCGTATCGACTCAGTTTGGGCAAACGAGGTAAGTATTTGATAATTATTCATGTAAAGTTAATTAGCTAACTAGATTATTTTAGTTGGTGAACTGAACTGTACTGAAATTAGAATAGGATTACGTATCAAATACTTTGACATTAGTATAATTTGAGATTAGAATTTATTAGGAGAAATTAGAATTATTACGAATGAAATTGAATTAATATAAGTTTTGTGCACTATAGGCTGGTGATCGAACTTACCATGTTCGAGGTAAGACCAATTTAGTGACGTATCATGAGCTTTATCGGCCATATCTCGAAGCGGCTGGCTTGTTTAGTGTTTTGCCCCTGGTCCCTATGAACTCCGATGCAAGTTTGATTACTCCGCTCGTAGAGCGGTGGCGACCCGAGTCCTCGACCTTCCATTTACCGTTTGGTGAGGTCACGATCACGTTAGAGGACGTTGTGACACTGTCCGGTCTGGCGATCGACGGTGATGCCGTCGTAGTTGACATACCTGTTGAGGAATGGTCGACGATCTGTTTGAGACTGTTAGGACGGGTTCCGAGTTATGTTTCAGGCGGTGTCGGTGTCGTTAGGACTGTTTGGCTGAGGGATGAATTCAGTCATCAGCCGGGAAATGCATCCCAGGAGGTTACAGAGCAGTTTGCACGAGCTTATGTTATATCTCTGATGGGAGGTGTACTGTTCACATATCGGTCTGGAGCTACGGTGCACCTATAGTACCTACTTCTGGTTGAGGATTGGCAGAGAGCTCGACGGTTCGCCTATGGACTAGCTATTTTATCCTACCTGTACCGTGAGATGGGTAGGTCAGCTTTCCACATTACGCATTCCTTCACTTCTCTAGGCGGTGACCTTGGTGGATGGGTCGCCCTACTGCAGCTCTCGGTGTGGGAGCGATTCCCACATCCTGCTCCGCGACATTCAAAGACGAGGGTGCAGATTTTCGAGGATGCATCCCCACGTGGTCTTCGATGGCTTCCGGCCAACACTCATCGGTAAGGTGACCAGCTATTCCAGTACAAGCTGTGGGTTGACGAGATGGACACCATGGTGGTTAGTATATAATATTTCATTTTATAGAATAGTTTTCATTTGTTTGTTTTAGATTTAGGGATAATAACGTGACCATTTTTTTTGTGTAGTGGCAACCTTACGTTGGGAGAGCACTTCTTCTCAGAGGTAGTGTGATACAGTCTGAGACGTTTCGAGCAGTAGTGCCACTTATCTGCTTTTCATCGGTGATGTGGCACCATCCTGACCGCGTGCTCCGGCAGTTTGGCATGATGCAGCATGAGCCTCATCCGCCACATTTCGAGGCTGAGGTTAGGTTTTTTCTTCGTCAGACTACTCGTGGGCCATCACGTGGGCAGCAGTTGGTACACCAATACAGAGAGTCGATTGCTTTCTGGAACCGTCGACAAGAGTTCGTAGTGACGGCTCCATACAGTGATGAGGTCTTAGCCTACCACTCGGAGCATATGGAACTTCTCCATACAAGAGTTCGTAGCGATTGCTCAACTTGACGATCGAACTTCTCCAAGCGTTTTTCTCCGGCTAACAAAATAAACAACCACACGGGTTAGATAAATTCATGATAAAATTACATGAAAATAAATAACAAAATTAAATGAAGAAGACTTACCGACTCGAAATAGTTGCTTATACATAATCCTGCTTTTAATCTTCCTTTGCAAATTGCTTGCATAGTGTCGCATGCACCACCTCCACTCCCAACCTCTTCCGATGTTATTCATGACTTCATAGAGTCCTGCATGTCTATCTGAGATGATGCATACATCATTTTGATCAGTCAAACCCTGAACGTGACTTATGAACCATGGCCAACTACCAGTATTCTCGCTCTCCACTATGGTAAATGCAATTGGAAAAATCTTCTTCCGGCCATCAAATGAGCTCGCCATGAGTAGCACCCCTTTATACTTCCCAGTAAGAAATGTTCCATCAACAACCATGACACCTGGACAATTCTTGAATCCATCTATACAAGTTCCATAAGCCCAGAATACTCGTTGAAATATCGAATGATCTGGTTGAGTCGAAGGAACTCTTACCAAATCAATCACCAATGTTGGCATTTTTCTCCTGACCACCCGCAAGAATGTTTGCAAAAAATCGTAGGATTCTTCCCAACTTCCATGCAACTTCTCCAATGCTCTTTGTTTCCCATACCAAGCCTTCTTGTAAGTAACTTGCATATTAAACTTATCTTTCAACTCGGCCTGCACAATTAGAACATTTAGATTTGGTTGGGCACGTACCAAATGTTTGACGGCCTCAGATATCATGTCGACATCAAGATGGCGATGATCCGTCGGTTGAGTCGTATTGCTACAAGAATGCACCAACTCAGCCTTTCTAACAGTCCATTCGCCTCCAACATCTCGAAATCCAAACCGCACCATCCAAGGACAATTGTCATCCTTGTGCATCTGACCTTCCAGATTGAAGGTGAAGACTCCACCACACCATATTGAAAGTTGTGTTGTAGTGCGTGGTGTTTAATCACCATCTGTGCAGCTTGTTTCGAGTGAAATATCTGCCCCTTGTAGAATTCTTCTTCAAAACTAGCAACAATAGGGATTGGAATTACGCCATATGAATCAGCAAGTGATAATTCTTCGTCCTCTTCATTACCCTGCAAGTAAAAATATGGAGGATAATTAGGCTGCTCTCCTTCCCCCTCTTCCTCCTCCTCCTCCTCATCTTCCTCCTCTCTGTCATCACCGTCATCATAGTCATGATCGGATGGCATGCTCCATGTATCATCTTCTTCCTCTCCACCCTAATCCTCACTGAGCTCAACATGTATCTCAGCACCCAAACAATAAGGACTTTGTGCCATAAAATTCCAAAGCACATTCAAGCTATCATCATCCACAATAGGCATCGCATAATGGAATAAAACACCATTCTGCCATTCTGGATGACGATAAGTGAAACCCGTGATCACATCACTATCTTGTACTGCTTCGTCTCTACGCCGTATTCTCGGAATTAGATTCTTACAAAGTTTGTGATATGTGACCCTGGATGGAACCGTCAACTGAAAACTACTACCACCAACGAATTTGACGTCCAAATTATCCTCTACTTTCTCCGATTTCCACCGAATGACTAGTTCAAATCTTCTAAAATCACTACAGAAAAACAAACTCACTAATTAAAACTAAACACAATCATAATAGCATTTGAATAATATAATTAAAAAAATAAATGTGTCTCTTACCTATCAGCCATTTTTGCAGCAGCAACCAGAGCTCTCCTCTATCTTCGTCGATTTTTTTTTTTTTGTGTTGTGAATAACTGAAACGAAAATCGCTGGTTTTATAGGGGGTAGCCAGCAATAAGCCAGTGGACCCGCCATAGTCCTGGGCGCCAGCGCCAGATACAAATTCCCACCGATTCACCTCAGCCTCAGGCGGTACGACCTCTATCTTGGGCGCCGCACTGTCACCTTTAAACAAATGATCCAGAAAAACAGAAACAGCGACAACGCCTGAGTTTCAGGCGAACTTAAATTCCCATTAACTAGCCCGGTACCTAATTAAGTGCTTAATTGGAACATTCATAAATGTCCATGAGTTAATTAATTACTTGTCGAATGCAGATATGAATATTTCATTTCAATTGGGGGATATCTAGCCATGGAAGCATGATTGAACTTTGACGTGTGTATACAGAAAAGTAATTTCACTTCACTCAGCATCAGTAATTACTTATCTCAATAATCTTCGAGCTTTTCTTGATATACAAACATTTGACAAAAGAACGTGAGAGAGAGATGGATGCTTCATAAAATCAAACCAGGTTGTGAAAAAGTTGTAAGAATGGATGTCTGGTTTTGTTGTTCTCATTGCGTTCATAAGGTTTAGGCATGTAACGAAGAAACGATCACTATCTTTGGATCTTTGACGAGCTACTATGTCGCCCCATTACCCGCAAACTTCATATATTCACCTTGTCAAAAAATGAAAAAATTATGATATTAATGCAAATTTGATTTTAAATCCATTTAAGCATAAAGCATCACAACATTCAATATATAGACAATACTTTTCAAAAATCATCACGACCCAGATCCATCCATCACTAGTCCTTTTCCAAATCTAAATCAACAAATAACCTCTTAAAATTTTCATACAAGTTTCCTCTGTGGTATATAGGAGGAGACACGTTGAATGTTGAGAAATGAGTTTGAATCCCGGCAGAAAGAAAGACAAGCAAGACGGATAAGTTTTTGCAAAGTGATAATGGATGAGAGACAAATGTCAACGGCGAAATGAGATTTGTGACATTGAGAGAAATTGAAGAAGGAAAAAGTGATTTTGACCTTTGGTTTAAGAGATCAAAGTCCGAGTTGAGAGTGATTGGGCGGTGAGGCGGTTATGAGATTACGGACGAAAATCATGCCCCCAGGCGGCTTAAACCTTCCATTTTGTCTTTCTTCCAAGCCGAGTCCTGCGTTTTTCACTGCTTTGACCTTTTCTTCCTCTTCTTCACCCTCTTCAAATAATTTCTCTTTTTACCTTTTTTATTTTAAAATTAAATTCTACAAAAAATTGGCATTATAGCTGCTGACCTCTTACTCAGAAGCTGAACGTGGGGATGTTCAAATTGAGAAAGCTCTGATATCTCGACGAAATTGGCAATGGTACATGATATATGGGGTAATTAGTATAAACGATCACAAATTTTTGCATTTAGTACAAAGTCGACACAAATTTAAATTTGTAATAAATAGATAACAAAATTGTGTACTTAGAACAAGACGGTCACAACTTGAACAAAGTGACCATTTCATACAAGTTCAAACTTTTGTAACAGTGTCGTTACAAATTGATCATTTTGTACAAAGTTCAAGGGTTTGACCGATCAGTCACTGTTAAAATTTGCTCCAGTTGAGGTATGGTCGTTTTGTTAATTGATGTGAATGCTATGATCGTAATAAAGGACGTTAGTGAAAGAGTTCAAAACCTCACAGACGGGTCGAAAGCTACTTTTTTGTTGAAAAACTCGGCATACTTTCTTACTTTCGTGGGATCGAAATTAAAAGGTCAATAGAGGGCATTCTTATTCGGCAAAATAAGTATATCGATGAACACGCGACCTGACATCTTATATGGCGTTGAAGTGGTTAGTATCATATAGTTGACGAAAACATTACCCGATTTCAAAACGGGCACACACGCTTAATTTCCGTGGTCAGTCTTCTTTAGCATCGCGATTTGGATTATTTGGAAGAACAGGAATTAGCTTTGCTTTAAATGGGCCGCCCTTTACCCTCAGTCCCCCATCTTTAGCTCATTCAATTGTCGCAAAAGCCAAGCTGTGGCACGCAGCCTGTAACGCCCCATCGTTGTTACCTAGCTCGAGATGTACGCCAGCGACAAGATGGAGGTACGGTGAGAGACGAAGCTGGATGGTGGATTAACGATTTCGTGGGTAAGATTGGACAGGCGTTAGCAGCCTTGGCAGAGCTATGGGCCTTTTACTATGGTTTGGATTTAGTTTGGAAGACAAGATGTCGAACTGTTATGGTAGAATCAGACTCCCAGCTTGCTATTCAGTTGATCAACGACAGACATGATCTAGTATCCGTATGCCACCTTGCTCTCCTCTATTCGCAGGAAAATTAGACGGGACTGGTTGGTGCGCATCTCTCATGTATACCGAGAAGGGAATAGAGTCGCAGACTAGCTCTCGAAGCACAATCTCGTCTATCCCTACGATATTCATGAGCTTGCGCACTCACCAACAGTCCTAATTCCCTTTCTGCAGGACAATACTCAGGGTGTGTCCTTCGATTGGAGGATTGTTTCCCATCACAGTACTTCTTCTACTTTCTCTCCACCCATGTAAACTGTCTACTTGGCTTTTTGCCTCCCTTAATGCAAAAAAAAAAAAAATGACAACACATATAATAATGACTCATGTTTAGATATGGTGAAATGAGACAGTAGTATGACTAGATAGACCCTTTGTGTTTCTGTTTTTTTTTTATTTTTTTTTTTTTTGTAATGGTGATCGCTTAC